GGCGCGCACACACACACACACACACACACACACACACACGGTAAGCTTACAGCTCCCTCTGGAGTCCTCTTTCTTTAACAGCAGCAAAGAGTGTCTGGTTAAAGTTATGACCCTGCCACACATGCCGAGAGCGTCTCGGGGGACAAGGGACTGGAGCGAGCCTGACATTCACCTCCACGCTGGCATAGTCACACATGGAGCACTTGAAGGGTTTCTCGTGCGTGTGCTTGTAGCGCCGATGCCGGACCAGCTCACCGCTGGTCACGAACGCCATGTCACAGTCCGTACACTTGTGTGGCCGAGTCCCTGTGGGAGAACACCATTTCAGAACTGCACCGAACCCGAAAGGCCGCCAGAGAGGACACTTTCTGAAGTGGGGGACGTTACCCGTATGTGTGTTCAGGTGGTTCCTCAAGAGGGTCACGGTCCTGAAGGCCCGCCCGCACAGGTGGCATTTGTGCGGCCGCTCGTCTGTGTGGCTCTTCATGTGACGGTCCAGGTTGGAGCGGCGCGGACAGGTGTAGCTGCACAGCTCACATTGGAACGTCTTCTTCACACCTGGTTCAAGGGCGACCCGGGACCACATTCACAGAGCTGTGAGGACAGCAGCACCCTAAACAAACCCAGTAGGGCTGCCCACTTAGTGCCCCTCTAAGGGCATTTACCAGAAAGATGGCAGCTTCTCTTCTGGTAGACTATTTCAGGCATGTAAGAGGCACCACACATTCACCAAATCCTCAACAAGATCCGACAGCCTTTCATATAAGCTACTTATAGCCTACGACTCTATAACTTAATTGCCTCCGTGTTGTTGGGGTGATGCTGCTGAATGTCAGTCTAACCTTTCTTCTTGATTTTGGTTGGTTTAGGGGGCTTCATGTTGCCCACCACTTTCTCTGCATTGACTTCAGACAACAACCCCTCCTGCTGCTCCTCTTCAAAGTCATAGACCGACACATCCATGTCCTTCCCCTCCTCAGTGTTGTAGCGCAGTTTGCTCTTCTTGGTCTTTTTGGGCTTCCGTACAGGGGGCTGGTAGTCAGGGTCCTTAGCCCAGGATGGATCCTCATTTGGCTGCTCTGGTGGCTCTTGTCCCTGGAGCTCATCCTGTTCCACCGTCTCCACCTCCCCGTTCGCTCCCACCTTCACCACCTATCATGGAAGCAATAAAAAAAAAATTGATGTGTGCATTTCCAAAGGTCAGAGGTCAACATTTTACCCTTCCATTAAGAATCTCCTTCAAACAGTGTGGTGAGTGGCCCAGCGAACTAAGTCCCTGTGCCTGTGATTGAAAGATCGTCTTCTCAAGTCTCAGTAGAACAGTCACATTTCCGCAGCCCTTGAGCAAGATTCTTAGCTACATGTTGGCTGCCCCTGCGCCGTGCCCCCCCAAGCTTGCTCTCACCTGTCTGTGTGTCTCATGAAGAGCAAGATGTGCCAGGCAAGAAGAACCATTCCAGTGTACCTGTACTCATACTTGCACAAAGAGCAAATAAACTACCTAATCTAACTTAATTTTTAAGCTACTGTTCTACAAAGCCGTCCTTTAACTTGCACGCCAACCCAACACAGGACGCACAGGGTAGGATTCTCAACAAGCACTTTTCTAATCAAAAGTAAGCAGCCTGACCTGGAAGCCCTCGGGTAAAGGCAGTGTGTGGCAGATGACCGGCTCTCCGTCCTTGGGCATGGCAGCAGCATCCACAAACGTGCCCTGTAGCTCATCCACTACAGAACCCGCACTGACGGGCACGGCCGACACCGGCACCTGCACCAGCTGCAACTCGCCCAAGCCCAGCGGCTGCTCTTCCATGTTCACCACTTGCAGTGTGATGATCTGAGTCTCGTCCACCGTGGTGACCGTGGCCTCGTGGCCTGTCCCCGGCACGCCCACAGCCACTTCGGGGTGTACCACTGCAGTCTCCATCACCTCCGTCTTCATCTGCAGCAGGGCTGGATCCAGGGAGTCCATGACCATCATCTCCATGTTGCTGTTTACCACATCCTGCACCAGCTGCTGCTGACCCACCACATCCAAGGACCCGTCAGGCTGCTGATCCACCACATCCAAGGACCCGTCAGGCTGCTGACCCACCACATCCATGCCCCCTGCCTGCCCCTGCAGCAGCTCCACTGCCACCTCCTCTTCATCGTCCACCCCGCCTTCACGGCGCCGCTGGTACGTCTTGCATTCCTTTGCTCTGAAGGCATCGCCACCTTCATCAATGACTGTATCGGTTGGCTCACCTTCCATGACTATGACCTAGGAGCTGCACACCAAGCGATCAGCATTAAGTTTTACATTGTGGCACAATGTCTTCAACACAATATCAAATCTGACACACTTAAAACGTCAAGCCAAATAAGTCTTCAACAATATGAAATATACAAAACAGTTACCTACAAGTACACACACATGTACAAACTTTTAAAAGAAAGTTAATTACTCCAGTGCCTTACTTGAGTAGGTGATACTCAATTACATTTGACTAGTGTGAGGATTCTTATAAAACTGAGACTATTATTGTATTCTGTGACCAATCTGGGCCTGATCTTCCCCAAAGGAAGAACGGAGTTAAAGCCAAATAGCACTGATGTGTCTAAATATTAAATTTTTCCAATATTGTGCAGCAATAATATACTATAGAAAATATTTTATTTCTTGTCCCTGCCACCCTGATCGTGTATCTATTCTTCCGACCAATTTAAGCTTGGGTCTCTTCATTTGTCCACGCATCCATTATTATTACGATTTTAAAAACTTTTTTTTTCCCCGTTTATCGTTGTTATCTGAGGAAGAGCACCCTTTGGCTCTATAAGCAACACGCTGAACAAAATTAAACTTCGGAGAGATTTATCGGAAGGGAGCTGGGGGGATTCATTTATTGGTCCTCACCATTCTGTACATCAGCAAAAAACTGTATATCTCCGGTGTCCATACTGTACAGTCATTCCCCATTAATAAAACACAACACATAACCAAAGAAAAACGCCCAATGAATGAATCGTTGTTACACTAATGCAGGTCCCGCCGAAAGGAGACTAGTTTACCGCTAACTATAAGCAACTCTAAGCGTGTGAATGCCAAGTACTGTCCCGCCAAGACATGAAATATGGCGCGTTTTGGAAATTAAGCGCCGAAGCGGGTACGGTTCCGCAAAAAAAAACGTTAAGAGTCGATCCGTCACAAAATAACAGCGGCTCGACTGTCCGCGCCGGGACTGGACAGAAAAAAAATTCAACTGAATGTTTTTGCAGGTTACCAGCCGGGTTGTAGAGGGAGCTCTCGGCTGATCGCGCCCCTCTCTTTAGCTGCCGCCGAAGCTGGTGCGCCGCAGCCGCCCTAGTGCCGGCTCGGAGCCGCCTTGAGGGAGACGGAGACGCCGCGGAAGGCACCTTGCGAGCAGGATCGAGCCGTGGGATCACTTTCGCCGTGCCCCGGAGGACATGTGCGACGTGTTATTTTTTTCCCATATCTGGAGATACCTGGACTGACTTGGTCTACGTGTCAAAGCGAGCTGCGCGGTTCCGCAACTAGTCGGGCGCATTTTCGGCGCCGATTTCTTGATCAACTGCAGTTTTGGACCACAGATTTGACGCTGCACGACTTTCTGCTATAAAAAGCAATATGTGCGCCAGTAATAATGGAATCTGGCACACGAAAACGGCGACGCTGCGGTCGGATAACTGTTACAGAGGCCGAATGGGACTGTTTGGGATCCAAACCGAGCTGGGCGCGAAAAACAACAGAGCAACTTACAGCCACCGAAAAGGACTAAAAACGGCGTCAGTTTGTGCATTTTTAATGTGTAAGGGCCCGCCGAGGCGTCCGGCAGTGCGGGGGGTTCCTGACTCTCTCCGTCTCCCACGAACCCGCGGGTTTCTTACTCTAAAGAGCAAACAAAGAAAAAGAAAATGGACGCCTGGCCTAAACATTTCCTCAAAACAACGGAGCTGTTTGAAAATGCATCTGTGGCGAATTGTCGGTTAATATAGAGCAGAAAGACGAAATAGTTGAACAATATCCCCAACTTCTGGGTTAAAAATGTTTTTTGCTAAATTTTCGATAACGATAGAGGGAGACAAACACCCCCCGCCAGCCGCCAGAACCGGGAGCCCCATCGTGACACCTAGAGGCCGAATAAAGCTCCTGCAAAAATCCCCGCTTTTCCCAGAAACTAATGCGGTTTTACCTGCTTTCTTCTGCTTATTTTCCCGTTAATTCCGAATGGAAGCCAACCGTCCGGTCCCTTTTCTGTCGACGATGGCAGAAAAACGCACCCCTCTTCTCCGGCGGTTTTAATCCTCTCCCGCTTTAGCAGAGTAGGCTCTGCACAAAATGGCGGCCTTGCGCCAGTTAGTGCGCATGCGTCAATGTGTACGTCCAGTTGAATGGAAAGGGGACTAGGGGTGGCTCGAGGGAGGGGTGACGCTGGGCATTGTGGGGAGTTGTCATCCGCAGCGGCACTTTTGAATCACAAGGAGCGTGAGGCAAGTTTTGCCGTCGGGTCACAGGTGGTTCCGAGAAGGGACATAGCTGCATGGGTGGTCGATAGCCTTTGTATTTGAAATGCATTTCTAATACATGTGTAGATGTAGTGCTGAAACAAACTAGAATTTAAAAAGTTAGTGCTTCTGACAGGATCGCGGCACTGCGATTGGTGTTTGACTGAAAATTCAGCTCTCACTCAGCAATCAGCAGGTTAAAAGAAAAGGAACTGTATATAACACAACAAAGGTTTGCGTCTTATACAGGCGCCAAACCTGAGTACAGATGCCTCTTGGAAGTAGAAATGGAGAAGTTGCTGATCAGATAGCAAATGACGCCTTGGAAATCACAAAGAAGAGATGGGCAATGTTGAAATGGATGACAGCGATACTGAGGTCTCGGAGGATGATGATTCTGAAAAGGACGAGACATATTCGTCTAAAAATGGGCAAGTGTGCTGATCGTCAACAGCATGGAGAAGATGGACAGACAAGCTGGCGGCGATCCGTGAAGTGTGGGATATATGGGTCAGACAGCTTTCCCTATGTATACATTCCCGGCCAGGATGTAACAATAGACGAGCGCCTGGTTCCATTCAGAGGTATTTAACATTATTTATTACTGCTCTGCATTGACCTACATTGCTACAACAGTTTATCGTTTTTATTACAAAAATCATTATTTTATAAATAATTTCCAAGTCATTACAATGTATCTATTACTTCCGTTAATGTATATATCTATCATCAGTGAATCGTAACGATCATTTGTTTAATGCAATTGCTATATTTGTTCATGATTTATACTTGAGTGGTACTTGAGTTACTAAGTAATGATATTGTAAAGTGTTACCAAAAATATTTGTCTACTCTAGAGCATTTATCTGTTTGGTTTGTTTGACAGCAAATAAGTATTCTCTCTATATGTTCTTGCAGGGCGCTGTCCATTTAGGCAGTATATGCTAGGCAAACCTGGTAAATATGGGATCAAATTGTGGGCAGCGTGTGATTCAAAATTCACCTATTGCTGGAGGTTCCAAGATCCAAAGCAAGTCTCCAGGGAAACCAGAAGAAAAGAAACCTTGCAAAGTGTGTAGTGCTGGACCTAATGGACGGGCTCAAGGGGCATAATATTACAGCTATCGATGTCTTTGTCTTTTGAGCTCGGTCAAGAGCCACACAAAAAAAACTCGCCATGTTGGGCACTGTGTGCTGTAATTGACAGGAGCCGCTGTCTGCTCCGCTCACAAGTGTTGTGTTCTATTCGGCAAGAAGTCGGAGCTCAGCAGGAGTTAGCCTTCATGACTGCGCAAATGCAACTCCAGCCAGGCCATCTCTACAGCTCTGCGGGCACCAGAATGGCGAGGGTGGCAAGACAAGTCACGTCCCCCCCACAGGGCAAAGGAGGGAGAAAGAGGTGCTGCATGAATCAAGCATGGCTTGTTACAAGTGTGGCCAATGAGTTTGTAAGTTGTCATGGAATTATTTGTAAAAAAAAATAAATAAAACCTTTGTATACTTTTGAGGTCAAAATTAGTTTTTTAGTACTCTAAAAAAATGTTTTGATGTTGTTTTGGGTCAAACTGACCTCACAATCATTTGAATATGATCTTGCAACATTTCATTAAAGTTCCACAACAAAAATCCCTTTTGTCACCCCCAAGTGTTAGAGAAAAGAAAAATAGGACACAAGTCTTTGTTGCAACATTTTATAATAATAGTCCTGTTACATTTATCAGGCAATATCTTTGTCAATATACATTTTATAGAAAAAAGTATATTATTTGTCTTTTATGCTGCACAATCTGCAAATCATTTAGAAAATGAAACATTTTAATTCTTCCAGTAGTTTTCCCTAGTTCTACTGTGACTCAGAAGTATTTATTAAATAAAATGTCTGTTGTAATAATTTTTCACTCATCATTGTTACTTTAGGCACTTATAGATAGAAGACTGTATCATTTCAAAATTGCCTAAAATGTCCCTCCAGGTATGTTCAATGCCTTTCTGGCTCTACAACACAGCCAGTTTGTCTTCTCATAACAGCGCTGTAAAAAGGCCCCCTACTGGAGGCACACTGACATCACAACAGATATGGGCCATGGGTAGCCCATTGGTTTCCAAGGGAACCAGACAAGCAGCTATCAGTCCACAAGTGTGGTGTCTGTCACTCATGAAAACAGGGAATAGATTGTCTCCTATCTTTATAGTAGAAACAGTATTCAGTTGATTAGCCACTGGCACAAGACTGAGGAAATGCATTATGGGTAATTGATGTCAGCACCAAATAACATTCTGCTTTTAATTGTGTAAATTTGAAATATTGCTAAATTACAACATAAAAATGTCAAATGTGTACACCTTATGTGAAATACATATGTATATTGTTAAAAGTAAATATGACAAATTATGGCACAGATTATTTTATTAATGTGGCTAATTGGTGAAACAAACTCCCTGTATAATTAGGAAGACCAGAATTCAACATTAATGTCGCTTTGTCATCCTGAACAAGCAAATCCTCCTCAAACTCCCGACAGCTACTATGCTTCCTTGAAGCTAACCACCTTAATCAGAAACTCAGTAGGAATTCTTTGCACATTCCCCATGGTGAGAGCCACACCCTCCTTTCCCCTGAGTGGGTGTTTTCCCCGCCTGTCCATCCTGTTGTCCAATCATCGTTCATGCCGCAGTTTGAGGGCACACCTCCTGGTACAGCCTTTGACGGACAGGTCTCATCATTTCAGAGGGTAGCTACTACAGACCCCAGCTAAAGGCAGTGAGACAATCCCGCTTCACTGCTTCACAGCTCGTAAGGAATCATCAGCATTATTACTTTGTACTTATATGCATATTTACAGTGTCATTTCCAGTAACAGTATGAGACAGAATCATGTAATTGTGAAAGACACTTCTGCTGTACTAGGCCTGGCCGTCTCTGGATGCACTCTGGGGGTCTGTACAGACGGTGAGTGAAACGGCCCCTATGGCAGCGACACTGTCACGTTCCGTGTGTCAGCCTGTGCAGCAGTGCGCTGTTCTGGGCTCTCTCAGCCACGCACGGCGCTTTCTGTGGTCCTGGCACTCCTGTGGCACTAGAAGGCGGTGCTGGCCATACTGCCCGGGGCAAACAGGCGGGGTATGCCATCCTCGTTGTCCTCCACGTGCCGGTGGGCCAGTCTGCCCTCATCTCCTAGGGAGCAGCCGGAGAGAGGAAGAAGGTCACGCGTGTGCTGCCTCCTCTTCCCTAGTTCTGTTGGCCTCATTGCCATCCCCCCAAAATAAAGCATGTTTAGGAACCGTGTAGGAAAATATTAATTAATTGCTGCACTGACTCGCTGATATATTTCTTTGTTCAGTTTTACCCCTTCAGTCACTCCATCAGACTCTGAGTTTAGAGTGTCTGACTGACCCAAACATGGCTACAGTGATTGACTGCATAGTTAAATATGGGCTTTTTTTAAAAATCATGCACCCCCCCCCCCACCACCACTTGCAAGCAGCCCTGTCTGGACTCACCCAGCACCAGCAGGGCCTGCTTGGCTGCATCCCGCACCTCCTCCTTGTCTGTGCGACACAGGTAGACCAGCTGATCGATGCTCTCCTTGGCCTGTGGCACATGGGGGACAGGGGAGGGCTGTTAGTACCTGAGCAGCTAGTTAAGTGCAGCTAGCTGAGCAGGTCTAGCTAAGTGCGGCTAGCTGAGCAGGTCTAGTTGAGTGCGGCTAGCTGAGTGCGGCTAGCTGAGTGTGGCTAGCTGAGT